CATTCTAACATCAACATGTTGCATCAAAACAACGTGGTCCTGTTGATTTTATGAAGATCTGTGGTGTTTTTTCATAGAGAGATCTGATTAGACTTTAGAGTGGCCGATTGCTCCCTTTCACCAGACTTTAGAGTGGCCGATTGCTCCCTATCACCCTCTGGACATAATGAAGGGGGTCCTTAAGATGTTTGGATGGAAGTGCAACATGCTGTCCCCCAATAACTCCATTCTGAATGTTTTTGACGTTTTAAATTAATATTTTTTACTAGGTTGATTTTAAAAATAATTTAAAAAATATATAAAAAAATTATTTTAAAACATTTATAAATAAAAAATAAAAATAACCACCATAGTCATCTTAAATACAGAAGCATGTACAGTGTTTGAATCAACCCGATGTATCATAGATTCACACGAGGCAATATATCTATAACCCAAACAAAATTCACACAATCCAGCCTAGGTCCGTCGCTTCGCTGCCTAAAAGGTCTCCCTATTCTTTCACTTGCTAGTTGCCGCCGTTGACATGACCTCATGAGTGATCATACCACCAATGGAGTGATTATTTGATAAAAACCATTAACACAAGCTTTTGTATATGAAAAATATTCCAATTCTCATCTTTTATCTCTTTATTTCTTTGTATTTTTCTCTCTCAATTTCCTGATCTCTTTATTATTTTTATCTTATAGTTGTGTTTGAAAAGGATTCAAGCTCTCACATTTATTTTGATCCTTTTTTTTACTCCTAATATTTTGTTTTTTCTAATTTTTTTCTTGAAAATGTGTTGGAAAACAAAGGGTGAAAAACCAACCGTGACATGTGTAATAATGAAATTGCATTACAGATTTGATTAAATAGAAAAATGCTCCAAATTCACCCTTGTGTTTGTGCCAATTAGACTAACGAGCTCATGTGGAAAATCTTGATCAGATTTTACTTTGTGCAAATTTTGTCAGTTTGACCCAAGCGTTGCATTAAATTTTAAGTTGATTACTCATTGTCAAAAATGTTTAAGAAATAAAAAGAAATATTTGTCATTAAAACATACTCTAGATTAAATGATTTCACAGTGTTTTTTTATGTTAAATTTGTTATTTTAATTGTGTTCAATATTATAATAATAATTGCTTTTTAAAATATTTTAAAATATCTTTTGGATTCACAACTCACAACAAAAAGAAATTGATTTGGTTAATTTATCGAGTGAAATCAAGATTTTCTTGAACAGAAGCAAACTAGGCAAAGAATTGGCGTTGGGAGAAAAAGGGGACAAGTGCTCTCTGTTTCTGAACGATGTGATAAAAAAGGCTTTACTTTTTTACTCCGGTAAATATGGTTGAAAAGACATTACCACCACCCAATCAAATCATTTTCGTGGCAATAGTCATTTTGATCCAGGGGCATGGGCTGATGATATATGTTTCCATGTTGCTAAAGCAAGGTGACGACTTGTATAGTGATGTGCAGGACGACAATGACCGAATTTACAATAAAGATGAACTCATTAGGGTAAAAAAATTTTATATAAAAAAATTATAAAATTATAAAATTTTTATTATATTAAATTATTATATTTAAAATAATATATATAATATTATTTAGATTTTTTTATTGTCATAACTTGTATTTTAAAGTATTTATTTTTAATTTTAATTTTAAAAAAGTTAAAAATTAAATATTAAAATATTAAGATTCATTTTCATTACAGATTTGTCAATTTATGAGAAAATCAAGGATTATAATATGTTTTTACTCTCTTTTTTTCTTAATTTTTAGTTTGGAAAAAAATGATAAGAATATTTTTAGTTATTTTAATTTTAAATTTTAAGTAAATTTAAATTAAAAAAAATAAATTTTGCGTTTGGCTGGAACTTTAAAACTCTCCACTATACATATTTCAAGTAATATATAAGAAAAAAAGAGAGGAGCAAATCAAAGATTAACAGCTGAATAGCCCGTCTTGACCACCAGCAGGAAGGGGGGCTTTCCCATTTGTCTTTTTTAGCCAGTAACCCAAGTAGCAAAAAGGCACATGGACTCTTCTCCTCCTCTCTTCACTACTAGTTCACTGTGACCTGCTCCAGCTTCAGCCGAACCACCACCACAAGCAGTGTTGTTATTGGTTAATTTCACAATTACATGAATCATAATAAATAATAAAATAATAAGTAGAGTATTGTTTTATAAGAATTTGTAAATATTAATATTAATTATCAAAAAAATTTAAATTATAATCTATTTAAGAAATCAAATGAGATAATTTATAAAACAAAAATTAATGATTAAAAAACAAACAACTAAATAGTTAAATATTAATGAATTCAATTATACTAGTTCTAGGATTTGTGACTTACCATAATTATGTTTATGTGAACTTTCTTAATTAAATTAATTACTCCTAATATTGATAATCAGGTTTTTTCTAATGTAAATATTAATCTCTCTCAATTATCAGTAAATTATTTCGATAGACAAATTTCATATACTCTATGAAATTTCTGAACTTATCGAAATTTATTAAATATTGTAAAACCTATAACGATTACAAAAGTTCCTATGATATTTATATCCTATAAATTTTTTAAAGTATTTCAAATAATAGCTAAAACAATTATCACTTCTCAGTTTCAAATTGAATTCTAAATCATGCAAATATTGGCTAAACACACACAAGCATTACATATAGAATGAAATACTCAACATCTTAATGTAATAATTCAATCGAAGAAATTGATCACATATTCATAGTAAGGTTACATCAAAAATATCAGAATAAAAGTGTACTCCATAATTAAAGTAAAGAGAAACAAACTTGATACGATGAACATCACTCAAAAGTACAGAATTTCAGTGGAATAGATAAGTGTCCTCTTGGTCTTCAATATTTTTGCTTTTGTTCTTTTTTTTTTTTTGGTTGGTGCCGCCTCCTCCTTTTTTCTTTAATCTCTTTTAGAGTTTCTCTATATATGCCTCCTCTTTCTTACGAACCCTTCTTTTTTTTTTTCTTTTATATCGTGGCCTTTTTACCCCTACTGGAGTGAAGACAATTTTCTTTTCTGATTTGAATTCCTTCCTACCCAGACATTGTGGGCCAGATTTCAGGTAGGAAACGTGCGAATTCAAATATCTCTATTTCTGAAAAAATTGTATAAAATTGAATCTTCTTTCCAATGATACTAATCTTGCAATATTTGGACCTCTAAGACTTGAGATAAGGGCCATAAACTGAGACAGTATTTGGAGTGTAGGAAATTCGGGTCTGATTCAATCAATGTTCGCTTTTACTGCGGGATTCTGTCTGCTTAGTAACCTAGTATCTGAAAACACATTAATTTCCCACGAGATCAATAGTTCAAAAAGGTATCCAAAATTCTAATTATCTTGTGCAACATATCCAAAATATTTAAAAATCAAGCATGACTAGTGGAAAATATACATGCTAAAAATTCTCTTATCAAATACCCCCAAACTTAAATGTTTGCTTGTCCTCAAGCAAAAAGGAAACCATGAAAGTAGAGCTCATGATAAGTTTAACTTTCACATTTAAAAGGCTCAATCGTGAAGCATTCACTTCTTGACTTAGCTCATAGACAATATTAGATAATGGAAAACTAAGCATTCCTACTCTCTGTACAAACCGTTGTACAAACTTCCAACTCATCCATGTGTTTCATATGTTTAGCATCTTTGAACTATGCACGATCATTCTGCCATTATTATTATTACTATTATTATTTTAAACAAGGTAGCCATCTTTAGGAGTAATAACACACTTTTACTTGTCTTTTGATAAGGGTGATTTTTTTAAATTTATCATTTGTCTTTTGAAGCGAATACAAACATTTGTGATGTAGATCTCAGATTTAGGTCCACTTTATATGGATGGAAAGGTAAGACATAGGCCTACAACTTTCATATGGAGCC